AGCATGAGTTGTAATTATCCCAGCACATAGACAACTACATGATAACACTATATGTATAAAGAATTTATCCTCATGCAGTGGTGTAGGATTTTTTTACCACACCAGATTGCATACCCTCTAGTTTCTTTACTTTTTTCCAATTCAATCCTACTACTTTTCCATTTTTAATGTTTTCTATTTACTTGTCCCAACTGAGAATGGACCGGAAGTGGAAGCAGCTGCATTGGAATTTGAAAAATGTAGTTACGTCACTAATGACGTATTATAATGATATTCATAGAGACATAGCCAATCAGCTGTGTTGTTTCACTCTTAAAACAGTCTTGTTCTTCCTGATAAGCAGTACAATAGCTCCCTGTAGTCAGCTAGTCTTCATAAAGGCCATCATTATCAGAAGATCTTGCTCTATTAACTTTTTAAAAGAAGAATTATCAGTTTGGGCGCTCAACCACATGTGCTTATGTAAACTATGACATCATAAAACGTCATTGGGGTTAGATTTGGTATGCCATTGGGTTTATAGGGAGAACCCGGTTCTCAGGGTTCCCAAGGGTTGAGAGACCCAAGACCTGAGATCCTGAAGCGGCATTGGGCGACTAAGAACCTGTGAAAGTCTCATCCTTATCCTACATTCCTATAAAAAGTTATTCCAGTTTTTCTTGGTCCAAACTCAGTTGGGACATAGTATACTATTTCACGTCTTGCATTTACTGTACATCTGAAACATAACTAGTCATACAACAAAAATTATACACTATACAATTTTAGTCAAGAGCTACTACTAGTATTAAAATTACTGCAGTCTTGAGTATGACTGAAACTTAAATGTCGGAGGTTAGTAGTTCAAAACTAATACTATAACAAAATTATGTTTAAAAGAACTCAAACTAGAAATAAATTCACTGTATTTCTAGTCAAATAACTAGAAATAGTACTAAAACTGTCGTATTCATTGTCAGAGAACTAGAACTAAATTATTGTATTTCTTGTCACAGAACTACATGTAGGACTAAAACTAAACTAGTGTATTTTGAGTAAAAAAACTAGAAGTAAAATACATGCATGTACTTTTAGTAAAAAAACTAGAACTAGAACAAAAATTAAATTCTGTACTAGAACAAAACTAGCCCTTAGGTTGCACATGTACAAGACTACAAGTTAAATTTGATCCAAAGCAAATGGCACACTCAAATTACATACAATAATTACAGATGGGTTATGTGGTATACATGTATTCTATATTTTCTATTTTAATACATGTCATATTCTGTGGATTGCCACTCATGGACCAATTTTAACTGTCATTAATTGACACAAAAATAACGAGTGACACTGTCATTTTGTGGGCAACGGGCATGCAGATAAATTTCAGTAACACAATAGGTTCATCAGTACTACTGCTACTACTACTTTCATCCTTTCCTTCTTTTGTTTAAGAGAGCAAGACATGCAATACACTGAATACAGTATACCGTATCGCTGACTGGAAGAGAAAAATTGTGCAAATTTTTATGGATATACATGTATGTTTACATGCAATGACAAAATTATTATATTAAATTAATAATAAGTGAATAGAATTCTACATTACCTTAGTAGGAACAGCCTTAAAGGGAGGAGCCACCATCTCTGAAATCTCAATTTCTCCCACTTCTGAAATCCTACTAGAGCTTTCCTCCTTTGGTTTAGTCACCTTCTTGCTACCACTCTTCGTACATGTAGATTGAGGTGCTGCCTTCTCTCTCTTCTAAAAATATAACATTACATTAGTTTTGCCATTTTTCTTTAACAAAATTATATTTCGCCTGCAATTTACAGAAAGAGTGTGGATATCCCATACATAAGACTAGTATCCTTTTGTAGTTTGTACATTGGCTAAAACAACCAAAGTCTGCTTCTAGTGGTGCTATCACCTCAAAAGGTAAGATTTATTTCCCACTTGACTTTCATAATTTGTCAATTTATTCATTTTATAAGTTATACCATTGTAACTCAAAACTCCATAAAATCATCTGGCACCCAAAGGGCTCAAATAGTTTAAGAGCCCCCTAGTTAGCTATAGATGACCCAGAGTGAGAATTGTAAAAGCTATAAATTTAATTAATTTTATAGTACCTGCCCACACATCATAATTAGAAAGTTTGTTACGCAAGTCAATGATGGTACAAAGAAAATGCCTCACTTACGTGTACCTGTTATAGCTTCATTAAAAGCTGAAAAGTGCTTGTTATAAAAAAATAGGCTGTCTCTAAGCTCTCTTAATTATAAAAGATTTGGTCTAATCCACTCCAGAATTTATAATAAAAGATTGTTTTTATGTAGGCCCATTTGTTCTCCATTGCAAGTTGCCAACCAAAATGGCACCCAGAATTTGTTTCATCCTAAACTACGCCTTACAACCATAAGTCTCCCCACGCAAGTAATTCTCAATCTGGGTGGTCTGATGGGTGGTGGTCTATGTTTGGTATAGGGTTTAGTTTTTCTATTAGTCTAGTTGATGGTGAAAAGCCATGTCATTTATACCTTACTAGCCTTCTTTTTCTTTTTATCTGCTTTAAGTACTTCTGGTACTACTACTTCACCACCGTCCTTGGTCTTCTTGGATTTCTTTGACTTCTTCATTTTCGCCACATCATTCAATACCTGTTTATAGCAAAGAAAAGATATGGGGAGTATACTAAAATCGGGCTAAATTACTTTCTTGCTCTTCTTATCTGAACCCATCATTACCCATTATACCCAATGTGAGACCGTACCTCGTGTGAGTGGAATGGGACGGGACGGGACCAGAGGAGGTAGGACACGGTTGACCTTTGATTAATAATTGCAAAGTTCAATTGCATTCCATTGGTATCACGTGATGCAAAATGGCCAAATTCTTCCACTAGTACCACTTCTAACAATAATTTAGAGCATTAAGATAGAGTCAATGAGACTTTCATTTATTCACTAGAAACTATGATAGTTGCAGTAATTTTTAATATCTTAAACTAGCGAAGATTGATTTATCTGATGAAGTAAAAAAGAGAATCAAAGTTAAGATGCACCGTCTCTTTCTCCTTCTTATATTCATGTCTATAATCAAAGAAGAAATATTCTCCATACAATGGTGATTTTAACAACTGTCAAGGGTCGTCATAGATCTCTATAGTTTCTGCAGTAGTAGCTAGTTTTGTGATACAATCATCAGAAAGCTGCCATTTTTCATCACGTGATACCAATGGAATGCAATTGAACTTTGCAATTATTGCTCAAAGGTCAACCGTGTCCTACCTCCTCTGGGACGGGACAGGACAGCTCCGCGGATCACTCCCTAATTTAAGCATAGGCTCTACAAATTTACGGGCCAGGTCACAAAATTACTTCAAATAATTAATTTTATACATGTTGCACAATATTTTTGACCTCATTCTAATCAAAATTGAATTTTTATAAAATTATTTATAATCATAGTGGTAAATCTACTCTAAAATTTTCCTGATACATGTACATGTCCTATAGTGTTGCATGGAAAGTTTGAGCTCATTCTAATCAAAATTGGATTTTTCACAAATCAGAGAAACTTGTTTATTTCTTTATCATAAAGCTATTAAAAAGAGATAGATCTAGTGCTTTTTTAATTTCCTTTTTACCTTCATTGACTTTTATTTTTTTAAATGACATAGTGTCTTTAATATTTTCTTATTAAACACATTCAGAGGAGTGAGAGGACATCAGGAGAAAGGGAGAAGACTATAGCATTATAACAAAATTGAAGCTAACACTAGTAACAAAGAGGTGAGCCATACCTACAGCAACAGCAGCAACCTGGTGTGCGATCTGGTTACCGTCTCCTGGTATATGTGATACCAGACCCTATGTATGTTTTGCAAGGGGCTAGCTTAGTAGAGCTGCTTTAATATGCAGTCCTGAAAAGAGCGGACAGGAAAAATAGAATTATTTAGCAATGAGGACACATTTTGTAGAGCAAGCATTTCTTGTACTAGAGCTATCACAAGATATATCAAACACTCCAGCAGTAGAGCTATACCAGTGTCCTGTATTATGTATACTAGAGAGAGTGCTGACTATGTTCATGAGCTTTGCAGCAGAATCTTCCATTGTCTAGAGTCCTGGAAAAGAGTTTTATAGTGACATTTTGATTGTCAACCATTCAACTTTTTCTGAGAGGAATGTTACAGATGCAGGGAAGAGGACTACACTCATTAGACTTTTCTGAAGAAGTAGATGGTATGTATGGAGTTGATAATGATGTTGCAGTTGTTGGTGAAGATGAGTATACTGCAGTACATGTTCCTTCTAATAGTTTCACACTTTCAAATGAACAAGTGATAACAATTAAGCATTGATGTTTATTATATGTTAAGTTAGTGCCATCACATAATTATTTGCTACTTGCCACCACTAGCTATTACTGAAAGTTTTAATTTAGTTGTTAGAAGTACATGTATAATAATAATACATTGCTAACCTGTGTTATCTCATGCATGCATCCTATCCTATGCTAAGATCTATGCACTTTGCCAGCCTATGCTCTATACTGAAATGTACTACATGTATTCTAGCCTATACTGTCCCGTGTTGTCCTATCATTATGCATGGATCTCAAGATATCTATTGATTATCCACTGTCAGATACTTCAGCTAGGGATAGAAGGAGTGAGGGTGTAAAGCATAAATTTTACTGTTATTAAAAATCAAAGGGTAAACCCTCATTACTGTCCCTAATGCTGTGTCTTCTCCAGGCTAAAACTCAGGTTTTCTACATCATACTTCTCAAATTTGACCATAAACCTCTTTTTATAGCTAACATGCAGGTAATGTACAAGCAAAACGGAGATTCAATTGCAAGTGGACACTGATAATTACTGGTACGTTTGACTTAACTTAGGCCTTTAGTTATGCTTTTACTGGCCTTAAAGGAAAACAAATTGACCAATTTTTAAGTCTACTTGCAATTAAGTTTTAATTAAATTTTTGCTTAAATATTACCTGTTAGCTATAGAGGATAGTATATGGTGATGATGATGTAGAAAACCCGAGTTCTAGCCTAGAAAATACCCAGCCACACCCTGCATGAGTGGGCGTTAAGGCTTAGAAATGGTGCCTTTAGCTCTCTATCTTGTTCATTTTACCCTGTTCACATTTGTAACTGCACATTTCTATTGTTAACACTTTTGCGGTTTTGCAGGATTTCTCAGTGAAATTATGGCGCATGGGTAGCTCCTTCACTACTTCAAGGGTAAAAATAGCTTCCCTTCTGCTGCTGACCTTCTCTCTCCATTAAAATTTGTTGCTCCCTATTTCAGCCATATCACCCATCACTAATGGCGATATATGGCGCGGCCATCAACCACACCCTAAAAATTAAGAGTTAGATATGTGCAAAGTAAATAATTTAATTGCAATTAATCAGCACTTCTCATTGATTAAGACTGACCCAAAGCCTAAAATGGTCCTTCCCACATTTCAACATAATTATCATCATTATATTATAAGTATAAGTATTATTAGTATTAGGATAAGTAGTGAATTAGTATACCCTCTAATTCAAATTACAGCAATCAATGGACTTTTTCTAAAAAAATACAAAAATAATTGGCATCTTCTGATCTCTTTGGCGCATACACATTGGAATAGAGGACATGCACAAGCTATTATGATTGTCATCCATCTTCTTTCTCTGAACATTGATCTCCATCTCTTGATATTCGTTAATGATAAACACTGGTTAAGCCTCATATACTTAACATTAGGGGGACATAGCTAGTTAACAGCCTGTAGTCATGTATACATTTTTACAAGGGAAATGTACGAATTGGATCCACGTTTCTATACAAGGGTGATTGGCTGCAAGCTGATTCTTTTTCTAATTCTATTTCTTCTGAAATGTATTCTTTTATTAGTGTGTATACAGTTGATGTGCATTGATCAACTTGACCAGAAATAATAAAAGCAAAAAATCATGTGAGAACTATTTGTTACAATAATCAATGATTAAATGACTGATTCACAGCATATAAAATCATTCTATCAATACTACTGAACTGTGGTTGATCTATGTGTATTTCATCCATATACTTAATTATTTTTGAGTCTCCACGTTCAAAATTCAAGATCAATTTACATAATGAAGCTTCATTTGATTCAAAATTACAGATAACTCCATATATGATTATTTCCTTGCAATATCTACCACGCTGAATGCATCTTTCAGCCACCTGCCCAGCAGCAGTCATCATGCTGGCAAACAATTGTGAGAGAGTACGGTTCTCTGATGATTCTACTTGCT